TGTACAATCATAAGTACATTTTATCATAATGTATTTCTTTTGAATTTGAATTCATAGTAAAAATAATTTACATTTATAAGATATACCTAAAGATATTTTATAAAATAAAAAGATTAAAGTGACAAATACACTCAAAATTCATTATCATTTGAAAACCTACAGCACTATGTATAATATTGTGCAGAACTATGATATCTATAAGCATTGAGTATATACACTAGTATACTATCTATACTCAATGCTATAAGCTATACCTAAGTATTTAGTCATACATTAATGAGCTAATTACTCAGTTGTGCCGAATTAAGGACTTTTTATAAGTGATTAGTTTATATTATTACGTTAGAAGTAAAATAGAAAAATATAATACTTATTATAAAAGACAAATTATAATTAGTAAGTAATTATTAAAACTGTATTTTTATTGAGGGCACCTAGGTAGGTACCATTTAATATTTTATTGTAATTAATTATTATTGTCAATTTGAATTATTTGTTTAAATTTCTTTGTTAAAAATCTAATAATTTTTTAGAAATGTATTCACAATATATTTCCATTCTAATTTTTATTTGTAATTAAAATATTATGGATTTATGATTTAAGAAATTTAAACGTAGGATGATCGTYGTTTTGTACTTTTATGTAATTAATATGGAAATAACAGCYAAAATATTTTATTATTCCTGTTATAATTTAATTGAACTTCTGAGAAAAAATTTAAAATAGGCTTATTGATTTACACAAATAATAGAAATTTAAATATTGACTATTATTTCACATATAAAGTAGTATTATAGTTTTATTAYTTTTAACTTGTTCCTATGAGATACTTACATAATATACACACAGAATATTACATAAAAATATTAATTCATTTTATTAGTTATCATCCGTTTTTAATTTTTATAATTGCGTAAAATAAAAAATAATTTTGTTTTATCAAACTACTAGGAAACGAATAAATATTATAGGTACGTGCATTTATTGTACAGTATTTGAGCATTTAATGTAAAACTAATTTACAAAAACTGCAAATACGGTAAGATGTTGAATTTCGATAGTATTATTAAAAATTTCAAACTTACAAATATTTGGGATATAACATTTAGGTTTAATACTACAAGATATTGTAACTATAATACATTTATACAGTGCCACATTTAAAAGGAGTTAAGTATGGAAATTATTTTTTTGGGCAGA